AAGAAGTTGAGGGAGCGGAGAGAAACGTTTACGCTATCCGCACAGTCCCCCGAGGTCCCGTCCCATCGTTTCGTTGTCCCCGTGTGTGCCACGCGGTGCGGCTTAACGCAAAAGGGCCCACGGAGCCGGGGAGCAGAGTAACAGAACGCGCAGGAAAGGGAAAGATCCGAAGGCAGCAGCAGCGAGCCGGTGGCAAAACGAAAAATCGACCCGCATATATCGAGCCGGCCTGCGACGACGACGACGACGACGACCGCGGCGGCTACGACGACGACGACGACGAAGGTGGGACACACACATAAAACGAAGGATTCCTTGTGTCCCTGCTGCCTAGTGGACTCCCGATCGGCTACCGCTAGCGATGGCTGCGAACTCGATTAGATACGGGACTTGAAAGGAGTGATTCTTATCTGGGTATTTTTTTTTTTTTTTTTTTTTTTTTTTTTTCTTTTTTTTTTCTTTTTTTTATTGTTCGCTAACTTGTACATGATTCTGGGTAGTCGCGAGTTATTCATGAACATGTACATTCTTTTTTAGTTTGTAAACAGATAAGATAAAAATGTTATTTAGATATAAGAAATCTATCTAATAAATGTACTCCGGATGTATTACTAAGCAAATAGTAAATATTTCATTGGGACAGTGAACGTGTTAATGTTGGTACTGGTCTTGGGAAAATTTGTTCGTATTAGGTTATCGTTTTGAATAAAAAATTCTCGTAAGATTAATTTAGTATATTTGTGGCTTTTAAAGTGTAATTATACAGGGTGTAATTGGGAAAATAACGAAATGTTGTGTTTCAACTTTTAAGAAAACGTAATAATAAGTTGTAAGGTAAATTGAAAAGTAGTTAAATGCAGGCTTCCCTCAAATAAGTTCGTACTTAAATTGCATGAAGTTTCGAATTGTATAATGAAAATTGAATTTTTCATATATTCCAATTAAAGTAAGAATGAAAATTGCAAAATTGGTATATTGCACTAAGGTAATTTTCGTTTTTAAAGGAATAACTGTGAATAAATGCATTAAAAAAAACATGTGCTTTTACGATTTTAAACGTCGCACATGCCCAACGCTACTCGACGTCTTCACGCCGCTTTTGCAGTTTTACGTTTACTTTTGCGCTCACTAGCTACTGGCGAAAATTTATATGTGCGTCTGAGATTCCGCAATGTGGAATTCACATATTTCAACACGCTTATGCGATGTATTGCCGTATGGTGTCAAGGAAGAGGAAAAATTTCTTTCTCAATTAAAATTTCAAAGTCAACGAAATTGGTCAGAAGTGGGGGTATGGTAACATATATTGCTCCAATTATATGAACTAAAATTTATTCCCGTAAGTGTACATATAAAATCCGTGTCATACATAAAAAATAACATTAACTTCTTAGTGCTCATAGAAATTTGTTATTTATATTAACAATCTTAATAATTAACATAAGTACAACATCATCTCTTTATAAGTACAATACTCAATTAAGCATGAATAAATAAAAATATAACTTCATTTTACTTTATTAACATATACGAGGTAACCCTTTGATGATAAAATACCACGACATTTCAGATGAATTTGATATCTTGTTACCCAGTATAAAGTTGCATTGGTATTGAAAATTCCATCTAGGTCGTCTTGAGAAAGGATTTCTATACGTAAAGAAACAAAAGTAAATGAAATGTTAATTAAATTAATTATTAAATTATCTTACATTTAAATTATCAAAATGCATACTTACGTTCCGGGTCGTTATGCGTTAACAATTGTACATCATTTTCTTTAGTGAATGCCTGCAGTGCTGGTGGTACAACACAACATGTAACTAAACTAATTTGTACAATATTTGGTTTTATCTGTTCAAATAAAAACAATACAAAATAAATATAACATTGTGAAAGTAACAAATTGTAATAACTGTAATAAATGAGATAATAATTTTACATTTGCCCACTGAAACAACTCAATAAATACATTTGTGTTGACATCACTTAAACCAACACTGGACAGTTTTCCAATCTTGACATATTCTTCTATTCCAGCCCATAAATGTTTCAACGCTTCCAATATGTCTTCTGAGTCTTCCTTGCCTGAGTAGGCAATTACCAAAGATTCAATTGCATTTATATTCAGAGAATTACACACTGAAAAGAGTATACAATCATAATTAATACACATATAATCAGTAGCATATTTTGTGAAATTAATGAAATATAGCTCACACCTTGATCTATAGCCTCTTTCAATAAGTTTACATCAGGTGATGACATGAATACTTTTACTGTTATTTTAACATCTTCTCTGTTTATATCTTTCAAAGAATTATCTTTTACACCTTGAATCTAAAAATGAATAAATTTCCATTAATTTAATAATTCATTATGAAATTTCAAATAATAAGTAACAAGTGATCATACGAATACTGGATTTTCACCACTGCCTTCATTGTCTCTAAGTACAATTTTTAATGTTTCAATTAGCTGAAAACAGAAAATTTTTAATTTATCTTAAGTTAAATTATTCACGTAATATTAAAAGTCACATAACCTCGAGAATGATTATCCTGACAATGTCCTGACAATTATATCGCTTACAATTCAAAAACTGACCTCGTTCGTGGAGTTTTGACTAGCTTTTGTTTTTGCCTCATTTAAGGAAAGTATATTTCCAGTTCGTACCAATACGTTTTGCGACAACATAGCATCTAACAAAATGTAAAGAATGCTAGCAAGCGTGTGGCAGCTGACTAACTAAAACCGTTATGAAAACAGACAGCATAGATCGTGGGCGGACAAACAATTGCTCAGTATGAGCTAAGTTGTAAATGACTTGTCTGACGAGGCACTTTTCAATCTAAAGATAACAATTAAACTTCAACATGAAAAATTTTTATATATCCATGCGGGTTTTTTTCCAAATCTTGTACTTTTATTATTGCATTGTTTGATTTATCCTGAAGCTTGATAAGTACAAAATGTTTTTATACTACCTGCGCGAAAGTGCAGATCGTTACGCAGCATATGTAATTACGTCATCGCTTTTCTAGTATTACATATTATGTAATTATGAGTAATTACTATAAAACTTATAAATATAAAAAAAAAAAAATGATGTA